CATAAGATCCTATTTCAAATACACGTGTTTATGTGCGCGTATACACGCTAAGCTATCATTCTGTATCACTTATCAAAATTCCTGGCAGTATTTAAGGAAAGAAAGATTTGAAGTCATGGATTCAGAGGGCAAAATCGATCATGACAAGAAAGGGATGGTAGGTGGATGTGGCAGCAGGAGCTTGTGGGAGAACTGTTCACATCTTGGCAGATCACAAGTGGAGAGGTGGACCAAAATGGTTGGCAGGTAAAACCTTCAAAGACCCATCCCTACCCACAGCCTTCTAAAACGGTGGCACCAGCTGAAGAGACTACACATACAAACACATAGGCTTGTAGGGAACATTTCATTTTCAAAGCATACTAGCTTCAAACAAAATTCAAAATTATACTCTCTGGCTTCAATTATACTATACTGGCTACTCTTCCAGAGGACCTAAGTTCAATTCCCAGCAGCCACATGGAGGCTTATAACCATCTGTAACTCCAGTTCCAGACGACCTGATGCCTTCTTCTGACCTTTTGGGCAGCAGGTACATACCTGATGCATAAAAAAATATGAAGGCAAAACATACACACAAAAACAAAACAACCAGGCAGTGATAATGCATGCCTTTAATACCAGTACTTGGGAGGCAGAGGCAGGTGAATCTCTGAGTCTGGTCTAAAAAGTGAGTTCCAAGACTGCCAGGGCTAGTCAGATATACTCTGTCTCAAAAAAAAAAAAAAAAAAAAAAAAAAAAAAAAAAAAAAAAAAAAAAAACTACATTATCTCACACTTGGAATCTAAAAAATAAATTGAAGTCACAGAAGTAAATGATAACAGTGGCTAAGATTTAGGAAAAATAAAGAGATGGCCATTTAAGAGAGCACACTTTCTGTTAGTAGTGTCAAGACAGCACATTCTCCTCTGTGACAACAGGGAACAATAATGTACTGTAACACATTAGGTGTTGGTAAAGTGGGCTGTTTTAGTTCCTGACAAATGAACTCTGTGAAGCCTAAAATGGACTTTCTGGGTTACACTCCAAGAGAGAAGTCCCTGCCACATCAATTACCATGCTCTGAGATACAGGTAAGCATCTATTTCCAGGGCCTATGGAACTCTGTGTAATAGAAAAGAACTATGTCAGGTGAAGATATATTCATTAGTTGCATCTACAGTCAATAAATAAAATTAGTGCCAGTTCTAACTATATTAATATAATGCAGTATTTTATCTTTGAGCTGGAATTGCAAGCTGGAGGTGGCTGGACTATATAAAAACTAAAGAAACTCAATCCTGCCTAAGAATTATTTTAAAAGTAAAGCTTGTGGTCTAATGTGAAATCTCTCATTAAAATCCCCTGTGAAATTAAACACAAAGTATTCTCTGGCTCTTAGAATGTAATGCATAGATTTATTCGATCCACTTGGTCTCAAGTCTACTTCCTTAGTGATTTTAAGACTCAATGTTATTATCAATTCGGCACTGAAAAGAGTACTAAAGTTATCTTACCCTCTCATCATAACACTATTTATCTCTCTCTACATGTACACTAACACTTGCTTTCCATACTTAGGTGTTCTGTTTCTGGGATCATACCTTTACAACTCTTACCTCTTTTTCAGTCTATTTATGCCCTAACAAATAAAACAAGTCACTTACTGGAAGCACAGATGATTTTCTAAACATCATCAGTCAGGTACAGTGGGCCATTACTGAAGCCACTTGAGGGGCTAATGCAGGAGGATCATTAATTTGAGGTCAGTTGCAATACACAGTGAATTCTAATCCAAACCTGAATTACACAGCAAGACCCTGTCTCAAAAACAAATAATGAAAAATTATTATTTATTAAGACAATTTCAATATCCTGGTCACTTCACAAAGTAACTTTTAAAAGGACCACACAAATTGTGATCAAGAATGAGTTTATCAGTGGGATGCAAAGATGGTTTATGGAAAATAAATCTGATATACTGAATGAACAAAATGAAAGGAAAACTGTATTGCAGAAAATATAGAGAATCGTGTAACAACATAGGATATCAACTGATGGTGACAACAGTCAGTAAATTAGACAGGAATTATAATGGCAGCACAAGAAAAACAAATACCATTATCATTCAGTGTGACAAAGCTTAGACTCGTCAAGGACAGGCACACCCTTCCATCTCTTCAGCAAACACTGGGGAAAGCCTAGGTGGAGCAATTAGGGTAAGAAAAAAGAAAAAAAAAATTCACCCAAGGAAACAAATTTGTTCCAGGTGACAGGGTGTCAACACAGAAAATTACTCTGTGAAAAAATTTTTAAGAAACTCATAAAAGTTCAATGATTTTCAAACCAACACAAAGTGTCTTTACAAAAAAAAAACAAAGTGTCTTTACATACTACAAATTTAAAAAGCAAAAATATTATATACCCTATTGAACTGCATAAAATGAGAGAGAATAAAATTAAACAGGGAAAAATCTAAACCACTATGAACAAGCCTATAACAAATGGCAAGGTATCCCATGCACATTGAGAGAATCACCACTGTTAAAATGTCCATCCTACCCAAAGTGCTTTATAGATTTATTGCCATGACATTAACAAATCAAATGGCATTTTTCACAGGCTTAGGAAAAAAATCCCAAGTCATAAAAAACCAAAACCTTTCAAATTAGCCCAAAAACTAAAATAAAAACAAAAGTTTTAGGTTTAACAATGTATTACAGGGCTAGAGATGAAGCTCAATTGGTAGAGCATGCATTTGATACCCAAGCATTGCACCCAAATCAAAACAAAATAAAAAGCAAACAAAAATGATGAGTGTAGTGGTGCATGCCTGGAATCCTACCACTGAAGGCAGGGGCAAGAGATCAAAAGGCCAAGATCATTCTTGACCGTTCAGTTATTTCAGAGCAATCTAGGCTCCAGGAAACCTTTTCTCAAGGAATCATTAAAAAAGAAAAATACATTACATAGGCAGTAACCAAACAGTACAATATTGATACAGACAACATAACAAAAATAGTTTAGCTATAAACTTATCATTGCTAGGCATAGCGGCACTTAACTGTAATCCCAGCACTCTGGAAGGTAGAGAGACAGGTGGATCTCTGTGAGCTTGAGGCTAACCTGGTCGATTTCAGACCAAACAGAGTTACACAGAGAGACTATCTCAAAACCTTATACAAACCAGGTGAGAATGGTGTATGTCTTTAATCCTAGTACTTAGGAGGGAGAGGCAGGCAGATCTCTGTAAGTTCGAAGCCAGTCTGGACTACAAAGTGAGTTCCAGGACAGCCAAAGCAACAAAGAGAAACAACCTCAAAAAAATAAGGAAGGAAGGAAGGAAGGAAGGAAGGAAGGAAGCCAAAACAAAACCCTTATACGGTCAAAATACTTTCAAAAATGGGTTTAGAACTATAGCTTGAGGGTAGAGTATGTGCCTAGCATTCATGAGGCCACAAATTCAATTTCAAGCACCAAAACATAAATGCTTATAACCAAATTTTCAACAAAACTATCAAACCATAAAAAGAATTGTTAAACAAATAAAAGGAACTGACAAAAGTGGACACACAAGCAAAACTATACCACTAACTATGGTGTGTATATGTGTATGTGTAGTAACATAAACTCAGAGGTCAAGGAAAAAAGGAAATAAAATTAAATAACAGTAAAAGAAATACAGTTAAACTGGGTAGGCTGGTTCATACTGAAAATCTCTGCACTCAAAGGCCTGAGGAGAAACTGCTGCAAGTTTAAGATCAACCTCGTCCACACAGTGAGTTCTATGCTATCATAGATTACATAATGAGATCACCTCCAACAAACAAAACGCTGAAAATCAAATCTTAGACTGCTGACACAATAAAACTCCAAAAAGAATGCTTCTTGACACACCAGCAAAGAATTTTGGAGCTAACATGAAAAGCACAGGAATAAAAAGCAAATATAAAAAATTAGGGCAACATGAAACTGAAGATTTACAAAGCAGAGGAGAAAACAAACCTGAAATGGCAGGTATACAGATGGAAAAATATCTGCAAATCATATATACTACAGTGGGTCTATGTCTAAAACAGAGCAACTCAGGTAACTTCTTCACAGCAAAATACATATACATTGATTTTAAAACTGATAACTGAAATTAATATTTTAGCAAAGACATACAAATGGCTTATAGATTAGAAAAATGCAACTCAAAACTTATAAAACTATCTCACATTTTAAAATGACACATAGAAAGAAAAAAGTAAAAAGGTAAGCAATAAAATGACTAGGTATATCATTGGGAATATAAACTGATAGCTATTACAAAACAGTACAGACATAATGAATTAAAAGTATACCTATCGTTACTATAACAAACCCACTTTGGGGATTGCATCTGAGGACATAAGATCATTAATTAAAAAGAGACAGCGACACTAACATTCAATGAAGCAATACTCCCAACAGTCGAGGTATGGAAACTAAGTATCCATAGACATACCAAAGCATAATTAAATGTCCTGAAACAAAGTAACTGACCATAGCACAGCTCTACCTTGAGGACATCAGGTAAACAGCTAGGTGTGATGGCACAGCCTAAAGCAGAAAGACTGGGAGTTTGGGATTCAGTTTGAGCTACAGAGTACGACCCTGTCACAAAACAGACAAAAGATAAAAAACCTAGGCATAGTTAATACAGATACTAAATGACTTAACAAGTAGAGACTAAAGAAAAGCTTAACTCCAACCAGAGAAAGGGTAACGGCTACCAGAGACTGGGAACTCAAAGAAAGGGGTTGTCTTGGTCAGACCCAAATCTTCTTATGTAAGTATGCAAACACTATGTGACATACTACGATTTCAGTGCTAGTAAAATATATACTTTAAGACAGTTGAGTCATCTCGACACTAAGGAGATTGAGCCAGGACTGCCATGAGCTCGAGATCAGTCTAGACTACATGATTTTCATACTCGTCTAGGTCAAAACGTGAAAGTAACTCGAAAAAAGACAAAGGGGAAGAGGGGCACATGTGACAACAAACAAAGTAGTGAATGTGTTCATTGGTTCATAATGCCAGCATGGGACATATACTAGACACTAGGTATAAACAATAGTTTTCAATCACATCAAACAGAAATATTTTAAAAAGGAAAACCTATTATGGAATTTAGAAATTTATAATTGAAGTCATAAAAATACACAAATATAGAAATATTCAAAGTTCATCTAGAAGCACCCAGGAAATCCATGTGTTGCCATCTAAATCTTCAAGGCATTGAAGTAAATCCCCTATTATACATACGTGGTTTGTGTTCAGTCTGTAACCACCACATAAGTCAAAGGTAAAGTTATTTCCCAAATTTCAGTAAGATTTTTCTCAACTGTGAGATTACAAGTGAACTAAGCAAACAATGATATTTCTACATGTCTTGCATCAACACACATAGAAACACTAAAGGTTTCCATTTCCTATACTACAAACCTTGACAGAGTTCACCGATCTTGAGATTTTGATCTCTCCCATATCCTTAAACTCAGAGCTTCCTCAGATTGAGTTGCTCTTACAGCAAATAGTGACAACTGAATGCTTTCATACATTGATTATTATAAGACTTTTATAGACTGAATTCTGATTGCAAAGGATGGATCAAGGGCTTCCAGAACAATGTTCTGAATACCTTACATTCAAAGGCTTTCCCCCCAATGGGGATTTTCATGCTCATTAGCATCAGCAGAAGCAGTGAAGGATTCCCTGCATTCCTTATATTCATACGGTTTCTCTCCTGTGTGTTTCCGTAAATGCTTATTAAGGCCTGAGTGCTCTGTAAAGGCTTTTCCACAGTACTGACATACATAGGGTTTCTCTCCAGTGTGAATTCGCATGTGAACTCGAAGGTACGAAGACCATAAAAATGACTTTCCACATATTATACACTGAAAAGGCTTCTCTCCAGTGTGAGTTCGCATGTGAACAGGAAGGTAGGAAGAACATGTAAATGTTTTCCCACACACTGTACACTGAAAGGGCTTTTCTCCAGTGTGAATTTTCAAATGCACATTAAGATAAGAGGAAGAAGCAAAGGCTTTCCCACAGTGGTCACATTCAAAGGGTTTCTCTCCTTTGTGACTTCTTATATGTGCAATAAGGCCTGAGGAAGTGCTAAAGGCTTTTCCACATTCTTGGCATGCATAGGACTTCTCCCCAGTGTGATTTCTTAAGTGTATAGTAAGGCCTGAACGAGCAGTGAAGTCTTTCCCACAGTAAGTGCATTTATAGGGTTTTACTCCAGTGTGAATCCGAAAGTGGGTCTCAAGGGAGGAGGAGTTTCTAAAGGATTTTGTGCACACCTTACACTGAAAAGGTCTCTCAGAACTGTGAGTTTTTATGTGTACAGTAAGTTGAGCAAAACTAATAAAGCCTTTTCCACATTCCTTACACTCATAGGGCCTTTCACCAGTATGTGTTCTTATGTGTTTAGTAAGGCATGAGCGCTCAGGGAAGGTTTTCCCACACTCCTTACATTCATATGGTTTCTCTCCAGTGTGAGTTCTCATATGAATACGAAGATAAGAAGACCGTGTAAATGTTTTGTCACACTGATTACACTCAAAGGGTTTCTCTCCAGTGTGAGTTCTTAAATGTCCAACAAGAGATGAGGAATGAGCCAAAGCTTTCCCACACTGATAGCATTCAAAGGGCTTCTCTCCTGTATGAATTCTTATATGTTCAACAAGGCCAGAGGATGTACTGAAGGCTTTCCCACATTCTTTACACTCATAGGGCTTCTCACCATTGTGAATTAGTACATGCTTAGTAAGGCCTGAACGTGCAGTGAAGTCTTTCCCACAGTAATTACATTTGTATGGTTTTATTCCAGTGTGAATTCGGAAGTGGGTCTTAAGGCATGAGGAATTTCTAAAGGTCCTTGCACATACCTTACAACGAAAGGGTTTTTCACCAGTGTGAGTTTTTATATGTTCAGTTAGCTGAGCAAAGCTGGTGAAGGCTTTCTCACATTCTGTGCACGGATAGGGCCTCTCTCCAGTGTGCTTTCGTAAGTGTATCGTAAGCCAAGAGCGACCACTGAAGGCTTTCCCACACACTTTACACTCATAGGGCTTTTCTCCGGTATGAGTTCGTATGTGACCCAGCAGGTAAGAGGAACGTGTGAATGCCTTCCCACATATGTTACACTCAAAGGGCTTCTCTCCAGTATGAGTTCTCAAATGCGTAGTAAGGTAAGAAGATGATGCAAAGGCATTCCCACACTGGTCACACTGATACGGTTTCTCTCCTGTGTGACTTCTCATATGTTCTGTAAGGCGTGAGGGTTGAATGAAGGTCTTCCCACATTCCTTACACTCGTAAGACTTCTCCCGAGTGTGCTGTCGTAGATGTACAATTAAACTTGAGCGCTCAGTGAAGGCTTTCCCACATTCCTTACAGTCATAGGGTTTCTCCACAGTGTGGCTTTGCATATGGATATTAAGGTAGATAGGATGTGTGAAGATTTTTTCACATTTCTTACATTCATAGTATTTTTTTTCAGTGGGAATTATAACACGCTCATTATGACTTACAGGATGAGTAGAAGCTTGTCCACTAGGGGAAGAACTATGCGCCTCGAGGTCTAAGTGACTGATCAAAGTTTTCCCACAGTCACTGCATTCAGTGGATTTTCCCAGACTGCACATTTTCTGGGAAACATCTGGAGTCAAAGTGAAAGATTTTACACACTGGTCCAACTGAAAAATGTTCTTTTCAGTAGAAGTTTCTTTAAGTGGTGGCAGCAAGTCTTTTCCACACAAATTACTCTCTGAAGTCTTCTCTGTATTTAGCCTACTAACGTGAGTCTGAGGGCATGAATTTTCACTGAAAACTCTTCCAACTTGCATAGAGCTGCCAAGCACCCCTGCATTGTGCTTTCTTCCCTATTGACAAAGGGCAAAAAAAAAAAAAGATTAAAGGATTGTTCAGACTTGCAAAGGAATGTGAACTTGTGAGAATTCAGACACACTAAACTAATTTATGCTGAGTATGTTGGTTTACTCCTGCAGTCCCAACACTCTGAAGGCTTCGTCTACAGTGAGTGATAGTGAGCCCGTCTGATAAAAGGAAAAAAAAATGAGAAAAAAAAAAGGAAGAAAATGAGAGAACGAGATAAGAGTCCCTTGCCTGTGATAGCTATTTCTATCAAGTATCTTTCATTTGTATCTATTTTTATTAGTGAATTTCTAATCTACCCTGAACTGGGACAATAAAAAGTATACAGTTCCCCCAAGGAGTATGGCTCCTAGTAGGTCAACCATGCTCCAGTGTGTGGCCCTACACACACCAAGGAGTGGTTTGGTTAGTACAAATTCAAATTGGTAGATTACTTACTTTAAAAAAAAAAAATGTAAAGTTGGCGTACAGAAGTGGAGGTTACTGGGTCTTGGAGGATTTAGAAGTGGGAGGTGAATATTATCAAAATACATTATATGAGATATTCTCAAATAATTTAAAAAAAGAGAGAGAAAGAAAAGAAATATTTTGGGGCTGCCTCAGGTAAAAAAGCACTTGCTGCTCTTCCAAAGGACCCAGGTTAGTTTGCCAGCACCCACATGGTCACAACTGTCTATAACTTCAGTTCCAGGGAATCAGATGCCCTAGTCTGTTCTCAAGGCCACCAGAAATGCACATGATAAACAGACGTATTTGCAGGCAAAGCACCCATAAACATAAAAGTAAATTTCATTTGTAAGTCTTACCAGTTGCTTTCCATTTGACATATCTGACCAAAATATATCCTCAAGTGCTGTCCCTTTTGTCTTAAGGTGCATTTCCCATTCTAAAGTGAAACCAGAAAATATATATAAGAATTTTCACAACAAATGAAAGGTTACATTTTTAAAAACAGGCAAAAACCCACATTATGTGGCCAGGTATGGTGGTGCACACACCATTAGGAGGCAGAGGCAAGTAGATATGTGAGTTCAAGGCCAGTCTGGTCTATAAAGCTGAGTTCCAGGCCAGAACTTCATTTATGTTTTCTTTCATATTAAAACACATTAAACAATAAAGCAAAGAAAGATTAAAGCATCTAAGTCTAAAATTTGACCAGCATAGGATATGGTGTCAGAGAAATAGTAATAAACAAATTTTTCTATTAAAATTAAATAGGATGGTAAATAGAATAATTAGAGAAAAGGAGGAAAAAACAGTACATCACAGACGCTATACATTAGCTTTTCCTATTAAAATTAAATTGTGTTCCAAGGACCTCAGCCTTCAGATTCAAGGTGATCTTCTAACAGTTCCTTTGACACACTTCCAAACATACAGAACTTGACAATAACAAGAAATGTTTTCAACAGATACTAACCTTGGAGAATTCCTTGTTCCATTATTGTCAACTCTACTTTCTGCTCCAACCAAGAAATCAGGCTGGGTTTGAACAACTGACCTCCTAAACAGAAACAGATACATCACTGAAGTCTCACAATACTCCGCAATGACAGAAAGCTACATTTCTCAAGAAATACTTAAAATTATTAACAGCTCAGAATACAAATGTTTATGCTATTGATGACTAGAAGTTTTCTGTGACCCACCAAATCCACATTCCTAACTAAATGCACATTTAAGAAACACCAGTGAGGACCAAGTCTGTTGATGGATACACACAATCTCTACATGTAATCTCAGCATTCACAAGGCTGAGGCAAGAAGATCATGACTTTCAGGCCAGTCGTGTCTACAGGGCTAACTAGTGAGATCTGTCTCAAGAAACCAAAAAATGGCTGAGGACATAGTTCAGTAGTAGAGCACTTGCCTAGACTGTACAAGGTCCTAAATTCAATCCCTACTACTGCCAATAAATAAATAAATAAATACTATTTAATGACGTGTAATATTCCTATGACTTCATTATTAATGAAAAGTCTATGCTTTAAAATAATGTAAAATAAAATGCACTGAACTATTTCTTCTAATAAGATCTAGTAAAAGTAATGGAAGTGTAATAAAGTCACTACCACCAATACTCCTCAGGGATACAGATCAAACCCAGAGCCACATATATCTAAATAAGCACTCTACCACAAAGAAACATACCCACCTATTACTCTTTATTCTCACATGGAAAAAATAATCTTAATCTTATCTTTAAAAACAGATTCATAAAGATTGCTAAATCAAAACAACAACCAGGTTTGATAGCACACATCTGTAATCCCAGCTCTCAGAAGACTGAGATAGAATACTGAGAGCTTAAAGCTAGTCTGAGCTATAGAGTAAGACCCTGTCATAATACAAAAACAAGTCAAAAGGAGAAAGAATCTCAAAATAACACTGTTAGTATAGTAACAGTTAAGCTACTAACCACCATTTGGTTGAGAACTACCATGATGGAATAATTAAGGAAAGGATTTAATCTGTTATTTCTCACTATTCTCTGAGCTGACATCACATTCTAGAACACTATTTCTGTTAGTTTATGATGTTGGCAGTCTCACCTACTGTGGCCAGGTTCTGGTAGTTCTCCAGCATCACGTCTCTGTAGAGGCTTCTCTGAATTGGATCCAGTGAAGTCCACTCTTCCTGGGTAAAGTCCACAGTCACATCTTCAAAGGTCACTGCATCCTGAAAGAGGAAGTAATAGATAGAGAGAGAGAGAGAGAGAGAGAGAGAGAGAGAGATAAAAGTCTAAGGTCCCTATAACCTGTCTCAAGTCTCAGTATTTCTAGAACATCTCTCTATCCACACTCACTCTGTACACATTCAATACTCATGGATGTTGGGACACACTCTCAAGACATTTCAAATTGTTATGTGATTACAAGTGAATTTACTGCTTTAAAAGGGAGATTTTCATCTTTATCATTTGTCACAACACATAAAATAATAAATATCTCACCACTAACAGAACTCAAGACACATGATTACTAAAATACGAAGATAATTTTCGAGGTAATCAGTCATCTAAATAAGAAACGTGCCTTTGGGGAAAATTCAACCAGGGATTTAGTCATGGCATAGGTTTCTGGTTTGCTATAAGGGCAAGTCTACCTATGAGAAAATGTCTTCTAGGCCAGTTTCATATTAACTTTAGATTTAAATAAAAAAACTGCCAATCTTGGCTAAGTGCATAAAATAGGAAATACACTTCTTATTGAACTTACCACCTGCTGTGCCTCCATGAAGGTATGTCTTGTCAAAAAACCTTGTTCCAGTGTTAAATCTTTGGTTTGTAGATGTTTTTCCAATTCTGGAATTAAAGCCACAAAATAAGATTAGATTTAAATAATAGAACAGTATAGCAAAGAAGTTAAAAATGTCTCTGTGCTTTTTAAATAAACCTGGTAAGCAAACTGGAGATTTAGAGGAAAATTTGCTAAATATTAATTCTGTCAAAATTAATATGTGGTAATAAAACAAAAACATGTCACCAGAGAGAAAAAGGAAGAAATATCATCGAAGTACAGCATGGTATGGTGATGCACACCTGCAATCCCAGCACACACAAATCTAAGGTTGGAGAATCAACTATTTAAAACTATACTATAATGAAAAACAGAGAGAGAAGCATTTGAGGCAAATCCCAGGATACATAATTGAAACTGTTCTACCACAGCACACACAACACAGAGAGACAGACAGATGAAAAACAGAAAAGGAAATAAAACAATGAGCTTGGCACTCCAGGAGGCAGACAGTGAATCTCTGAGTTCAAGACCAGCCTAGTGTACAAAGTAAGTTCCAGATCAGCCTGGGACACACAGTAACTCAAAAAAATGAAACAAGCAAAAGCAAAAAGCAATTAACTTGAATCATAATATGCTATTTCATGAGATCACAGAATTTTGAGAGGGACAAAAAGGAGAGTTGATAATGATGTATGCCACTGATCAATATTATTCTTCACAAACATTCACCTTGAAGAACTCTGTGTGGTTACCAATTCTTTTTTCAAGCAAGTCAAAGCAGTGAATTTGGTAAGTGTCTGACGTCCTATACATAGACAAAGTTGCATTAATGGAAGAGATGGCAAACTTTTCTATGATTCGGGTCTATAATACATTTTTTTTTCCAATACAAGGTGTCATGTAAATCTACTGGGATTACAGGCAGGCACAATCAAATGTAGCTTTTGGTCTACAATTCTAATAAAAGTAGTTAATTATTTCAGAAAGACTAAATCGCAGCAATATTTCCTAGGCAATAAGCAATTAACTTATAAATATTATAGTTCATCTAATTTGGACAAAGTCATAAGACAAATAGAATACTAACTAGAAATTATTATTCAATGTATCAAAGGTGGAAATATGGACATACATTTCAATAGAACTAAGTGACCCACATTTTAAGAAATGCCACCGTGGGCCACTGAGATAGTTCATCAGGTAAAGTTTCCCACATAACGATGACAACCTTAGTTCAATATGCAGAACCCACATCTTGACTAACAACATCACACCTGGGAAGAGGGAACTTCAACTGAAGAATTATCTCCATCAGATTAGCCTGTGAGCATGTTTGCAGAACCTTTATTTGATTGCTAATTTATACAAAAGAGCCAGGACTGTATAAGAAAAGTAGACGAGCAAGCCAAAGAAAGTAAGGCAGTGTTCCTCCGTGGTTTTTGTTTCAGGGTCTGCTATAGGTTCCTGCCTTGACATCCCTTGATAATGGACTATAATCTTAAGCCAAAAAATCCCTTTCCTCCCCAAGTTGCTTTATTTACTCTCTTTTATTACAGCGACAGGACTAGTACACCAAATACTAAGAAGTTAGGAGCAATAGTACACAGCTGTCATCCCAGTCCCAGCACTCCTACAATGAGATGAGAGACAGAAACAGGAGAACCGGCCAGAAGTGCAGTGGCAGAAATGAGAATTAACCTTCCTTTCACAAGGCAGAGCCGAGAACTCACTCCCTGTGAGCAGTCCTCTGACTTCCACATGGGTGCTGTTGGCACGTGTGCACCTGCACTCACACACACAAAACAATAAATAAAAATAAATCTTTTGGTTTTGTTTTTCTAACAGAGTTCCTCTGAGTAGCCCTGGGTTGTCCTGAAAGTCACTCTGTAGACCAGGCTGGCCTCAAACTCACAGAGATTCACCTGACTCTACCTCCTAGGTGCTGGGATTAAAGGTACACATCCATCACCACCCTAAATCTTAAAGAAAAAAAAAAAACCTAGTATGCTAGGCATGCAGCACAGTAATGAAGCACACAGACAGCATTTACAAGGCACTGAAGTTTGCTATGCATCCCCATAAAACTAATATCATATGTTTAAATATCTTAGAAGAGAAACTGTTATCACTGTTATCTTAATAGATTTGACAAAGATCCTAAGCACACTAAGTACATGAGAGCTCCACATAAAGGAAGCATCTGTCATACGAGAATAACCACCAACTTACCTACAGAGGCCAGCTTTGTACAGTCCTCCACGGTCACATCACTAGGTATGCTCTTCTGAGTTGGATGATTTGTAGTCCGCTCCACAGCCTCACCCTGAAAGGTCACCAGATCCTTAACCACCCATAAATGCCTACTTCAACCAAGTTAATATCCCTGCCAATCCTCTCAGGAGACTAAGGATAAGGAACCCAATGACCAGAGAGCGCTGCAAGTTCTCCCGCTGCCTACCATGGGGCTCAAGGGTCCTAGGCAGGCTCCTCTGTACTCACATCTCACTCTGTCCATTCACTCTAACCATGGAACCTTAATGACATATTCCAAACATGAATAACCTCACACTGGCCTTCTCATCTTACTTCTTTCTTAATAATACTCCTGGACATACTGTATAAATGGGGTAAATATAAAAAAAAAAGTCTTTGAGAAAATGAAACTTTCGCTTTCTTATTATTTTTCAGAACACTATTAAAAAAATAAAATAAAAAACACCTGGCATTTGGCACCACAGGATCAACACTATAATAATACAACTACAGCAGTGTGAAAAAGTTCCTCTCCTATGGTAATAGTCCTTGTCAGGGGCTGTATTCCCTTTGGTAATTCCTGGAGACAAACTGGTCTGCATGGAAAGATGTATACTCTATATGTAACGAGGTTAGTCTTCATACCTTATTACAGTTTTTCAGGTCATCAACCAGTGTGCTTTCTCCCTCTGTTTCTTCTCCTTGACTGCAGACTTGGTCCCCAGAAAGAAGACTTCCTGGAAAAAGATATAACAATTCAAATCTGCCAAAAAGCCCACATTCAGAGAGAGTGAGAAGAGGGAAAAAGAATTAGAGAGAGAAGCCTGGAAGCATATGCAAAATAATTCACTTCCCATTCTTTCATTTCTGGATAATAACTCTAGAAAATCTTTCCTACCACTATTTCTTATTTCATAGGTGACTTTTCAAGGACATCAAAATTTCTCAGTGTATAAACTGATGACCAAAAAGCCATAAATCTGTATAGATAGCATCTATCAATTCTGAAAAAAGCATTTGTGCCTCTGTATGTAACTGTACAAAAGCTACCAAAATGTGAATGATGTTTACTTTGAGCAGTGTGGATAAAGAAAAATTTTTATTTTAATCACATTTTCTGTTGTAATTTTAAAAATAGTTTTACTCCATGAAATAATAGATCTTCTCTCCCACTGCAAATGTAACTATGAGGATAAATACTACATCAGTAGTCTGCCAGTGGGAGTCATTTCACAGCACACATTAACATATCATTGTGCATTCCTTGGAGACATATAATTTTTGTTTACCATGCTTCAGTAAAGTTGAAAAAAAGAAGAAAAAAAGCCCACATTCACTGTGAGGATGGGAGTTCATCTGTTTGCAATTAATACATAACTCAGTTCATTCATAATTTGCAAATATAACTCTAGTAACCCACAATGCCACAGCAGCAATTACTAAAGCAAGATGCAATGGTGAACTGTCTTGCCCACCAACAAAAATACATTAGTTTTACTTTAAAGCCAAAGAAATGAAAGTTCTAAGAAATATAATTGAGTTTGCCTATAATGACAAAAATCAGTTATGGATCATGTAGTGTCTGTTCCCAAGCACATACTAGAGGGCCTACTTCAGCACTCCACAACTTACTGGTAGACCTCTGGCTCTACACTATGTAGGAGGGAAGGACCTACAACAGATTCTCTCAAAAATAACAACAGGACTCACCACAGGACAAACTGGTAATGTCCATCCTCTGAGTCTAATGGTAAAATGTGTAATCAAACTCTTCTGTGACTCCAAGGACACGCCAGGGAAACTCAAGTATCAAAGTGGAAAATGATGACATTCATTTCTCTTTAATCTGCATCAATCAAAAAGCAACACTTAGAGACATCAAGCTCTCTACAGGTGAGATAATGAAAACCACTAAAAATTACACCTTATAATATGGATTCATTAACAGCACCTGCACTGACTGAGGAATTGTCTATATTTGTTGTATAATAAGAAAGATGGTCCATGGGCTCATGTATTTGAACACTGGTCCTCAGCTGGCAGTCCTGTTTAGAAAGATTATGGAACCCGTAGGAGGTGGATCCTTGCTTAAGACTATACCTCGCTCAAGGTGGCCTCAAGGCTCTATAAGACTCATCATCCTATTTCTAGTCTCCCATCTGTGTGCAGATAAAAATGTGATCATACTTCAGGCAACCATGTCACACCTTCCCCACCTCTCCCTCTGAAACCACAGGCTAAAATAAATCCTTTCTTTCTTAAGTGGTTTCAGTTTCTTATCACAGGAACATGAAAGTAACTAATACAATATTCTAAGATACACTAAAACCTAAATGTATTTATGTGTGTATGCATATATAAAAAATGCTAACCAAAAATAATAATTCCACTTAATGAATTATTTGAACACTCCTTGACAGCAGGTATCATAATCACTATATAACAAAGCAATCTATACTCTGAAAATAAATGACTATTCAAGTCCAAAGTAGTGAGAAAGGGAGAACAGGGCCATTAATCTGGGTATGTCCCTAAAATATCATTTTGCATGATTATCAGACCCCACAATAAGCACATATAAAGGGCTCAGGAAAGTAAACACATTAAGTTAATTAAAATACAACATTCTGTGCTGGAGCAGTGGCTCAGAGGTTAAGATCACCCTCAAAACCATGTATAACTCCAGTCCCAGTGGATCTAACACCCTTTGTGGGCATCCTTGGGCATTGGCAAATACATGATATGTAGACAAAGCACTAACTTAGTTACTACTATAGTGATGAAACACCATGATCAAAAGCAACTTGCTGAGGAAATGGTTTATTCATATTACACTTCCAATTAATAGTCTATCACTGAGAAAAGTCAAGGCAGGAACCTAGAAGCAGTAACTAAGACAGAGGTCATGGAAGAATGCTGTTAATTATTAACATCTGGCTTCCTTTTCCTCACTTGCTCAACCTACTTTTTTTTTTTTTTTTTGCCTACTACTCTACGCAGATCTACGGTGGACAGTGGAAGCGTGTGTGTGGGTCATTCTGCAGGTGGGGGGAGGGACTTACAGTACGGAACTACTTGTGCTGGGTCAGGAATCGAACTGGGGTCCTTGGGTGGAGCGGTCAGGCACTCTACCCCATGAGCCGTCTCTCAGGCTGTCAACCTACTTTTTTATATACCCCAAGACCATCTGCCCAGGGACAGAACCATCCACAGTAGGCCAGACCACTTCATATCAATCATCAATCAATAATATGCCCACAGGTTTGCCTATAGGTCAACCTCATGGAGATTATTTTCTAGAGTAAATGACTCTTCCCAGATAAACCTAGCTTGTGTCAAGCTAACAACAACAAGCAAGCAAACAAATAAATAAATACCAGGACACATTCATATACATAAAACAAATCTATTTCCTACATTCTACTTGACTCTAAGGCATTGTGACCAGAATCTCCTTGTCTTACAGACACACAAGAGCTAGCATCAACTACAATTTAGCCTCACTCAAGACTGACCGTAGGAAGATTAGGTATTCGATTCCTGCCTGCTACTCAGGTAGAAAAAAAGGAGCACACAAAACACCATTATAAAGATTCGGGGATCCATTCATCAGCTAGAACTGCAGACAAATCACACCATATACTTGCATGTCTAAGTACCTGAAACAAGTAAGTATGAACATATTTCCTGCCTGCTATACAATATTGTATATCAAAAAAGTAACGTGATAACAGATCCTGACTAAACAAACACAAAGCCATGGAAACACTGGATGAGGAAGACATGTTATACCAAAAGAACCTAAAGATAGGACATCCAACAACAAAAAAATACATTTTTCACAATGGATAGGACATACTCTCCAAGATAAGTCTTAACAAACAGTCTAACAAATGTAAAAAGACTGAAAAGTATCTGTAGGACCCAGCCATGACAAGAGGCCTGAGTCTCAGTAGTTTACCCTGAGGCAATACCTGATTCTAAGAAAGACCACAGACCAGGCACCACCCAGGAACAGACCATCCAAAGGAAATTCCTAATGTTCCAACCATTATAGATAGGATCACCTGCCAGCACACACCCACCGCTTTTCACCAGCACACCCCTAGACAAATGTCAGTCAATCAGGGGTCCTTAACCTTAGAAATCCCTCACCCTAACCTTTGCTACTATAAAACCCCACCCCCAAATGAGCTGGGGCTCTCTGATCACTCCAATACATTGAACACACAGAGAAGTTTGCAAACTTGTGTAAGAATAAAGGATCTTTGATTTTCCATACAGGGCTCAGTCTCCTGGTTGGTTTTGGAGGAATCCATGACCTGGGCATAACAGTATTCAAGTATCTTTTCACACTTAACTGGTTCAAACTAAAAATCTATAGCAAAAAAAAAAATTAGAAAGTTCACACATATATAAGAATTAACAATACAACTTGAACAATGCACTTTGAATTTTAAAAAGAAACCCAGATCTTACTTGGAAATTTTATGGGAATAAGCATTTCCAAAAAAACAAAAAACAAAGGACTGGAGAGACAGCTCAGATGTTGAGAGCAAGCCCTGCTGCTACAGCAGACCTGAGCTCAGTTCCCAGCACCCACACAAGACAGCTCACACCTCCAAATTCAGCTCCAGGGGACCCAACATGTAACTGTTATCCTCCGCTAACTTCGTTCAACAGTTTTTCAGTTCTGAGAAGGCCAGACAAATATCAAGACAGGCCCCCTTAACTAGTTAAGTTAACTCAGTTCCTGCCTCTTGAAACTAAACACAATTTCTGAGGGAGACACAAACAAAGGGCAACCAATTGCCAAGGCTCCTGACAGTGAGAACTTGAAGAACTGCAGGTACTAAACCTGGGCTAACACCCACCATTACCTTAAGGCATAACAAAATAAAGACATAGCCTGGGACTCATCCAGACTTGTCCAAGAATTTAAAAGGTATAGCCTTAGCGAACCTATTAGCCCTAACCAATTAGAAACGTATTGATGACTGTCACTTGCATAAGTCAATCCTAGACAGAATGATCACACTACTTTTAGAATTCCTTTAGATGTATAAAAAAGACTGCAAACTCTTCTTGGAGGTCACCATTCGCCACCTTTGCCTTTGTGTTGGATGTATGACCCCAGCATGCTGGTACTTCTAATCTCAAGATAATAAATGATGGCGGTCTTTTCTGGGACTTCTCCAGGCCTCTAACAAGCACCTCTCCTGATAACTAAAAGATCTCTAAGATGTTTCCTCTTTTTGAATGGCAGAAATCAATTTATTGCTAGATGCATGAGAACCCTCATATCATGGGAGGACATGTCTATAAATCTTTCTGGTTTTTTCTCCTTTCTTGTTAAACAGCTGTTTCATTTCACATTGGATTTTTCTTTAGCAGTTTCACAATTTCATCTTGTAATGATATGTACTGACTGTATTCGTAATTATACTTGATATTTCCCTACCTGGTTAGTGAAGCTGCTAACACAGCAACTTCCTAGTCAAAGAAAGTACAAACAGGGGCTGGAGGGCTCAGCGGTTGAGAGCACTGGCTGCTCTTCCACAACCTGGATTCAATTCCCAGCACCACATGGCAGCTCACACCTTCAGGGGACCTGACACCCTCATAAGGACATACATTCAGACAAAACACCAATGTTCATAAAATAGAAGTTTAAAAAAATAAAGTAAAATATTTTTTAAAAAAAGAAAAATAAAGTACAAATGGAGAGAAAATTTGCTTCTGAAATCATTTTTCTAACAAGATGCTGATATTGCGTATTTTTGCATCTTGTTCTAATTGCCCTTATGTTCATAATTGCCCTTATGATAAAATAATAATAATAATCTTTAAAAAAAAAAAAAAGAATCACTTCTAGACAGTGGTGGCACATGCCTTTAATCCCAGCACTCAGGAGGCAAAAGCAGGAGGATCTCTATGAGTTCGAGGCCAGCCTGGTCTACAGAGGAACTTCCAGGACAACTGAGGCTACCCAGAGAAACCCTGTCTCGAAAAACCAAAACAAACCAAAAAAAGAAAAAAGAAAAAGAAACACACACACACACACACACACACACACACATGCACGTACACACAATCTAACTTGGGCTCTTGCAGACCCAAGCATAGCAAACATGGCTCTGGCAGGCCTTGCCCTTTTCCTTCCTTGCTAAAAAACCATTAGATCACATTCCTAGAGTTAGTCACAAAGGTTCATTCCCTTATTTGGCCACTTCTTCCCAAAGGTTAACCATCAAGGTTCAACTAACAAAGTACTTAAGTCCAACAATCAAAAACCCCCTTTTGAGGTAAAAATTAAACACCCCATGCAAACACAGTTTCCTTTTCCCTTTATAAAATGCCATCCGCCTTTGAGCCACTTCTGTCTCCTCTATCTAGAGGCAGTTCCTTTGTCCCTTTCCCCCTTCCTGTCCTCAATCTCCAGAGGTCTCTTATTCCGTGACCTTTGTCCAGCTGAGGCACAAAAAAAAAAAAAAAAAATAAGAAAGAAAGAAAAGAAAAAAAAAAAGAAGTCTCCTTTGTGCTGAGAATTTGGCCTCAATGCCTTGTGCAAACTTCAAGGACCCTTTCAGTAACACTACTGAAGACTCAGTCACTTAAAAATTCTCCTATCTAGGAAACATCTGGGAAAGTGTCTTCACAACTGCAATGTACAAAGTACCTAAATAACTCAAGAAACCTTGTGTCCTTCCAAAAATTAGAAAAGAAATACTTTCAAATTCATCACTATGCTACCAAAGCCAGACCCAGAACACTATGAATAAAGACCACTAGTATCCTTGACTATGAAATGACTAAGGTGCCACCACCTTATTCTGACTTTATTTT